TGCTCCAGCCCCTTCCCCAGCTCCGTTCCTGGCTCTGGACACGCTCCAGCCCCTTGAGGTCTTTGACCCCAGGACTCAGGGCTGGGCCTCAGCAGTGCCCAGCACAGGGGAAGGGGCACTGCCTTGGTCCCTCAGTCCCAGTCTGTCCCAGTCCCCCTCACCACGTCCGCGTTGGTCTTGTTGAAAAAGGCCTCAGCGAAGACGGCGACCACGAAGATGTTGATGATGAAGGACACGAAGAGCGCGATGCACGACTCGATGAAGAAATACTTGTTGGCCTCTCGCACCTGCCGCTTGTTCGAGCGATCCACCTGCCTGGACTGGGGGGGACGGGACAGGACGGGGGGTGGGAATTCACGGTTATCCTTGGAATTATGGCTGATTGAAGCGACGGTGGGACACAGAACATGCCCTCAGGTCCCACACCCCACAATGGCCACGAGCTCCTCTGAGGGGGTTTTCTGTGTCCCCCTCCCACGGTGGGACCCTCAGGACCCTCCCCACCCCCAGGTGCTCACCTTGACCAGGGCAGAGTGTAGGTACATGTTGTGGGGCATGATGACAGCGCCCACGATGCCCACGGCCTGCTCCAGCTGGGGCGTCCCACAGTCCTTGCAGTAGGGGATGAACAGCCCCTGCAGCACCTTCTCCTGGTTGGGCTTCACCGTGATGTACTGGGGACAGGAAAATGGGGGATTTGGGGCTGTGACACGTTGGCTGCTCCACAGCTGATATGTGGCTGTTTTGGTAAAAAATGAAACCGCGAGCCGACTCAAATCTGCCCAAAATGTGGCTTTTAAGCGTCCATCACCACGTTTGGTGCTGATTTGGGATCGTAGGATTGAATCATGGACTTGTTAGGGTTGAAAGAGTCTCTGGGATCATTGGGTCCAGCACTGGCACCAGCACTGCCAAGGCCACCACTGACCATGTCCCCAGGTGCCACATCCACACAGCTGGTAAATCCCCCCAGGGACAGGCACCTCTCCCTGCCCTGGGCAGCTGTGCCAGGGCTGGACACCCCTTTCCAGGAAGGGATTTCCCCCAATATCCAGCCTAAACCTCCCCTGAGGCCATTTCCTCTCCTCCTGTCACCTGGGAGCAGAGCAGAGCCCGACCTCCCCCTGGCTGCCCCTCCTGTCAGGAAGATGTTGAGGAGGGAGAAGGTCCCCTCTGAGCCTTCTTTTCTCCAGGCTGAGCCCCCCCAGCTCCCTCAGTTCTCCAGTCCCTTCCCAGCTCCATTCCCAGCTCTGGACATGCTCCAGCCCCTCAGTGTCTCCTGGAGGCAGGGGGTACCTCGTATCCAAAGGTCAGTGCCATGATGGTGATCAGGAACCCAAAAAACGCCTCCAGCTTCCGCAGGCCTGCAAGGAGGGAAAGGCCCCTTGTCAGCAACCCGAGAAACCCTCAATCTCAGATTTAATTCCTGGAATTCTGAAGGATAAATTACCATATTTGTCGAGGAAGAGGAAGACAAAGGTGTCAGCGATGGTGATGAGCACACCCCCCCAGAGCGGGATCCTGCGGGCGAGAGCGGGGTCAGTGCACACCCAGAGTCCCAAATGCCCTTTATTTAGGGCTTTTTCTGGGATGGATCTGCATGTCCAGGGGTTCTTCCCAGCCTGAGTAGGCGTTGGGATGTGCAGGGCTGTGTCCTGCTCTGAGGGAAGCGACCCTCTGAATCCTGAGGGAAACCCCAGGTCTGTCTGTTCCAGTTCCATTTCCTGCCTTCCCAGCTCAAAGGATGCCTTCCCAGGAATCCTCTATGGGATGTGGAGTTTGGCAGGAAGCTGCACCCCAATTGTGTACCAGTCAGAGCTAAAACCAACTCTAGACCCTGTGGGTCCCACAGTCGAAATCCAGCACCGGAGGCTGAGTCAGCGATGAGACCTCGGCTGGTGGGGGTGACTCATGTCCTCAGGGCTGAGCTGGGGGGATTTATGGGGTGATAGAGTTTTTGGTTCCCCTTTCTCCTCATTTCCTGCACAACCCCAACTCACTTGCCCACAGAGAGCAGGTTGATGGCGATGGCCGAGCCGATGACCTCCTGCATGTCCGAGCCAATGATGGCGAGTTCCACCATCAGCCACAGGATGATCCGAGGGAACTGGGGGCAAAGAAACACCCAATGCCATGAAAAACAGGGGAAAATGTCTCCTCCCACAGGGCTGTGGTGATCTCATGTGCAGGAATGGGATCCTCTCCCTGCCCTGGTTGTTGGTGACCATCACTGCAGCTGCCCTGGAGCTGAAATCCCAGCTCCTGTGGCAATCCCAGGGAGGATCCGGGTCACTTGTGTCACCCCATTCCTGCCCTCGATACGTCCTATTGTGAGAGTGAGATGTGGTATTTCCCTGTATGGACACACTGGGAAGGAGCACTGGGACATGTTCCAGGTGGGAGCACTGACACGGTGTCGGGGTTGGAGCACAGAGACCAGGTACCCCCAGTGTCCCCACAGCCCTTCCCAGTGCACAGGGCTGGGACATTCCCAGTGTCCCCACAGCCCTTCCCAGTGCACAGGGCTGGGACATTCCCAGTGTCCCCACAGCCCTTCCCAGTGCACAGGGCTGGGACATTCCCAGTGTCCCCACAGCCCTTCCCAGTGCACAGGGCTGGGACATTCCCAGTGTCCCCACAGCCCTTCCCAGTGCACAGGGCTGGGACATTCCCAGTGTCCCCACAGCCCTTCCCAGTGCACAGGGCTGGGACATTCCCAGTGTCCCCACAGCCCTTCCCAGTGCACAGGGCTGGGACATTCCCAGTGTCCCCACAGCCCTTCCCAGTGCACAGGGCTGGGACATTCCCAGTGTCCCCACAGCCCCTGCCCGGGCCAGCCTTGCTCATCATCATCAGCCCTTCCTTACACAAGCCTGAGGAACTCCCAAGCAGAGGATGGAACAGCCAGGGAGTGGTTTTGACCTAAAGGGCCATTTCTCTCCCTCTAATTCCTTGGGATTATTTCAGTATTCCTACCCTAGGAGGCAGCTGAAAATCCCGGATTTTCTTCCTGACCGGCAAATGCCAACATCCCTCCCCTCCCTCCTTGTGCTCCCCAAGCCGGGACAGCACTGAGGGACCCCAAAACATCCTCCACCTGCCCCATTAACAGCCCAGGCCCTCACCAAGCCCTCATGGCACCACCAAGGACATGGGGGGGAGTTCACCCAACTTTTGACCCCCCCATCTCCTCCAGCCCTCCAGCACTGTCCCCAGCCCCCCTTGGCACCCCTGAGGGTCCCGTGGGGTTGTCACCCACCGTCTGAGCCCCTCATGCCCCACACCCCCCCAGGACTGTCCCCAGCCCCTCTTGGCTCCCCTGAGGGTCCCGTGGGGGTGTCACCCACCTTGTGGTACTGGCGGTGGCAGACCTCAGCCAGGTGCAGCCCCGTGACCACCCCCAGCCGCGCCGCCAGGCGCTGCAGCAGCAGCCCGATGACCGTGGCCAGCAGCAGCACCCACAGGAGCTGGGACAGGGAGACAGGGGGGACACACAGATATGAAGACACAAATAGGTGGGGAGACACAGAGAGCCACCCACAAGGCCCCAGGCCTGCCCAAAACCCACAGTTCTGCGTTGAAAATCAAATTATTGACATTTTTGAGGCAATTACACACCAGGAGCTGCGTGGGATGGGATGGATCCAAAGGGACACAAAGGCAGGATCCAGGACCCTCCTCCCCCTCACCCCTCCCCAGGGTGTTCCCACCACCACCAGCCCCACATTCCAGATGGGATGTGGGTCTCCCCTGACCTTGAAGCCGGCGACGGCCCCGGACTGCAGGTCGGACTCGATGTTCCCGGGGTCCAGGTAAGCGATGCTCATCAGGAACCCGGGGCCCGTGAACGCCCACAGCTTGCGGAAGCTGAAGCAGGAATGCTGTGGGAAAAGAGGGACATGAGGAGGGCTTGGGGCAGCTGGAGAGTCAGCCTGAGCCTTAACCTCATCCTAACTGATCAGCCTGAGCCTTAACCCCGTCCTAAACTGATCAGCCTGAGCCTTAACCCCATCCCAAACTCCTGCCTGATCATTAATCCTGTCAGCCTGATCCTTAACCCCATCCTAAAATCCTGCCTATTCCTTAATCCCATCCCAAACTCTGCTTTAGGATGTCTGGTCCCAGTCTGAGGAGTTTAGGCTGAGAATAAAGGCCAAGGCCACGCTCAAGGAATCTCAGGGGGGAGTGGGATCCTCCCTCCCCAGCAGCCAAAACTGGGGGCTCCAGCCAAGGGCAAGAGGCACCCACAGCCCTGGGATGGGACAAGGGACAAGGAGACAGGGCTGTCACAAGGCCAGCCAAGGCTCCTGCTCCCTGATAAGGGAACACAGGGCCCAGGTCCCTCCCTGAGGTATGACAAGGCCTTTCCCTGCTCCAAGCAGGAGCCAAATCCCAAGGGATGAATCATTAACACGGCCCTCGCCCCTCTCCAGACCACAGGAGACACCTCCCCCACTTCCCTCCCAAATCTCCATCTCCCAGTCACCCTTCCCAATCCAGGAGACCCCTCAGCCTTTCTCTCCCAAATCTTCATCCCCAGGTCCCCCTTCCTAGTCCAGGAGAACTCCATCCCCTCCTCTTCCAAATCCCCATCTCCAGACCACCCTTCCCAGTCCAGGCTGGAAGGGGAAGTGGTGCCCATGGGAATGACTCAGGTGCCTGAGGCAGATTTTTCCATGGGGTTTTTCTCCCTCACCGTCTCATCCTCAGGGATTGGGATCTTGCTGTCGAAGTAGGTGGTGAAGGGCTCCTCCTCGGTGTCCTCGGGGGGCTGCAGGGGGCTCCTGCTGCTGGAGATGGTGCTGACCACCCCCCCGAGTCCCCCGGGCTCCCCAGAGACATCCTCTGCAGGGAGAGAGGGAATGGGAATAGTGAGAATCCCTGGAAAGACAAGAAATTCTGGCAGGGGCTGGCAAGCCCCACAGGCAGAGTAGAACGAGCCAGCCAATGCTAATTAGGTGATAAAGAGATAATTAAATCAAAATATCCCACACTGCTGCACCCCCCAGAGCCTGCTGCCGTCCTGGAATCTCCTCTCCCACCCGGTCCCAGGCTGGAGCCAGGGATTTATTTATTCCAACTAATTTTAAAAGCCCCATCCCAGGACACAATGTGGAGTGAGGGCAGTGCCAGTGCCCCTGCAATGATTAACCAGGCTGGATGACCCAGATTCCACGGAAACCTGGGCTGCTCCTGCACCACTATCCCAGACTCTCCCAGCTGGATCCCAGGGACACACGTCTGGAAGTGAGGGACAGCTGGGAGATACCACACAACTCTCCCCCCAGGGAGAGCCAGCACTGAGAGAATTCCAGGAGTTTCAAAAGGTAAGGAGTGAGGAGAATGTCCAGGAATGGACACATTCCCACATTCCAACCCCAGCCCCCCACCACCTCCAGCCAAAGTCTCGATCCCGATCCCGTACTCACTCCCAATCCTGTTCTCACTCCCAGTCCTGCTCTCTCTCCCACTCTCCCCACGGGACATTTCCCTCCGGGAGCAGCGTCCCAGCGCTCTGGGCTCGGACAGGGCAGCTCTTGGCCCAACTCTCCTATTGCATCACCACCGAGCTCCTCCTTTTCCCGGGACCTCCCAGAAACCTGCCAGGGCCACATTTACATAAGGGATTTGGAGCTGCCCAGGTGTGCAGAGATCCCTGCCCAGGACATTCCTGCCAAGACGTTCCTGCACAGGCTGGGCTGGTTCAGCTGGTTCAGCCAGGCTGAGACCCCAGGGTGCTGTGAACCTCCTGCTGGGATCACCCCAGCACCCTGGCACCCATCCCGGCACCCCGGGGCTTATCTGGCACCCAGGACTTATCTCAGCACCCTGGGGCTCATCCTGGCACCCCGGAACTCATCCCAGAGCCCAGAGCTCATCCTGGCACCCCAGGACTCATCCTGGCACCCCGGGACTCATCCTGGCACCCTGGGATTCATCCCGGAGCCCAGAGCTCATCCTGACACCCCGGGACTCATCCTGGCATCACCCTGGGGCTCAACCCGGCACCTTGGGGCTCATCCTGGTATCCCGGGGCTCATCCCAGCACCCCAGGGCTCATCCCAGCAGCTCCAGATGAGCCTGGAATGAAGGAAAGGAAGGAGGATGAGGAGGGCAGCCCCCGCCCCATGCCCGGTCCAGCCTCACCGTAGGACGCCTTCCGCTCCATGTCCGAGCTCCCCATGGTGGGGCCTTTCCCGTGCTCCAGGGACTGGTTTATTCTGGACACATTGGCTGCAAAGGAGAAGGGAAAAATCCTGTCAGGAAGGAGAATCAGAGCTGTCAGGAGAGTGGGGACAGCCAACAGCTCTGGCAGGGACAGATCCACTTCCTAGGCTCTTTTCCAGCTCTGAGAAATCTGGCAGGGATGGACTCACTTCCTGGGCCCTTTTCCAGCTCTGAGGGTCCTCGTAGGGATGAGAGGGGTAATTTGGGCTGGGACCTGCTGGGAAAGTCCCCCATCCTCCCCCTAAAAAGGACTGACGGGCACCGACGTGGCAGGAGTGTCCACAGGCAGCTGGAGCTGGTTGTGAAACTCCAGTCCAGGAAACAAGGGTGGAATTTCCTCACTGTGGAAACCACATCCCATCCCCCCCTTCCTGGTGCTTATGGCACCCCTGGTACCCACAGCACCCTCCAAACCCTCCCAGAACCCCACCATCACCCCTCAAACCCTCCCAGCATTCCCCCAGCTCTCCCAGGCATTGGGAATTGGGTTAAGGGCAGGTTTAACTCCTTCATCATGATCTGGGTTTAAATCCAACCCACGCAGGACTGAGCCAGAATCTGGGCTGGGGCTGGGACTGGAGCAGGAGGGAACCAGAAACTGGGATGGGACTGGGAATGGAGCAAGAGGGAATCAGAAACTAGGATGGGGATGCAGCAGGAGGGAGCTGGGGATGAGCTGGCACCCTCCGGGCTCTGGAGGTTCAACCCCCTCAAGCCCCCAAGGACGAACCAAAGTCCCTCAGTTTGGTCTGTAAAGCACTTAATCCCTCCTCAAATTCCATTGGATTTGAATGGGAGATTTCCATAAAACAAAGGAATACTGGTTCAGTGAGGATGTAAAAGAAAATCATCAGCCAGGGATTCGGTTTAAGCGATTTGAACCAATTTTAGGGTTTTAAAGATGAATTCCCAGTTTCACAACCAGCCCCAGAGGTGGGTTGTGACTGAGCCAGGTGCTGAAATCACTTGAGAAGGGCTAAAACATCTGAGAGGGACTGAAATCCCCCCAAAGATGCCAAAGTCACCTGAGAGGTGGGGAGACACTGCTGGAGCCACAATTGTTGGGTTTCCACCCAGACCACCCCAGGTTTGGAGCGATGACTCCAGGGGAACGTGGGCACTGACCCCTCTGGACCCCCAAAATCCCCACTCCCACCAAGGCACAGGGGGGAGTTGTGTTATTCACCCACTTTAACCTGGAGTGTTTGCACAAGCACGTGGAGTCATGGAATATTGGAATGTTCCCAAAAAGATCACCGAGGCCAACTCTTGGCCCTGCACAGGACACCGCAAAAATCCCCTTGGACACCCCCTGCCCCTTCCGGGCTCTGATCACCCCAAACTGCCACACATCGTGGGGAGAAAGGGGAGGAAACACCTCCAGGAGCTGGATTTGATCCCTGTAGGTCCCTTCCAACTGGGATATTCCATAACCTCCTGCCACCTCCCAGCCACAGCCCCGGACTTGCCCCAGCAGTTCCCCCCTGACCCAGGACCACCTCCCAGCTCCGACCCCACCACTTCCCTTCTTTGTTAAGCCCCAAACCCCACAGCTTCCACTAAAACAAACCCCTGAAGTTCAGCAATAAGCCACCTTTTCCCAAATTGTGATCCAGGAGGAACAGCCTTACCCTGGCAGTGAGTCCCACCGGAGCCTCACTCCGTGAGGGGCGAGGAGGACAATCCTGAGGGAACGTTCGTTACAGACCCACCTCAGTATCTGCCCCGACACCAGCCCAGCCCGGGCAAGGGTGGGAGGGGGCCCCTTATCTGCTCCAGCAGCTGCTGGGCTGGGAGATGGATCCACCCCCAGCACAGGGAACATGTCCCACGGGTGGCCAGAGAGCCCTCTGTGGGAGGGTGACCCCAGGGACCCCACCTGGCTGCCCCTCCTGTGGAGAGGGAGAAGGTCCCCCCTGAGTCTCCTCTTCTCCAGGCTGAGCCCCCCAGTCCCCCCAGCCACTCCTGGTGCTCCAGCCCCTTCCCCAGCTCTGTTCCCAGCTCCAGCCCCTCAATGTCCTGCACTGAGGACCCCAAACTGATTCCAGGATTTGGGGTTTGGCCCCAGCAGTGCCCAGCACGGGGGGCCGGGCACTGCCCTGGTCCCAGTGGCCGTGCTGTGGCTGACACGAGCCAGGTGCCCGTGGCCTCCCTGCCCACCTGGGCACACCCGTGTCCTTTCCCATGGGACACAGGCGTGGGTTCACCAGGCTCTGCCTCCTGGTGGTCAAACCCCCACTGTGACCCCACTGCTGTTACACCCAACAGTCCAAGGCATTCCCAGGGGAATATTCCCTGGAATACCACAAGCCCTGAGCAGAACATTACGAGGTCACTCCACAAACCCGCCCACACGGTGCTGCTGTGCAGGCCTTCTCCACCCACAGAGCAAACAACAATCAAGGAACAACAGGGCCCTTGTTCCACCCCCCCCCCTTCAAACCCACTGTCCAACGGGTCCTTCCAACAGCCACGGGCTCATCCTGCTTCTGCTCCTCCCCTCGGGGCACAGGAGCAGCCTGGCCCCGTGCTGGGAGCAGTTCCTGCCATTGAGGTTGTGCCTTTGATGTGAGGCTTTGAGCTGGGCTGGTCCCTGCAGGGCAGGCAGGATCCTCACAGATCCTTCTGGAGCAGTTTTGGGGCCAATATCTTGTTTTGCTCCACACACAGACACCCTGCGGGCTGGTGGTGACACCGGGAGCCCTTCACCTGCTCACCCTGACCCCTCAGTCCAGCCCTTCCAGGTGATGTCCCACTGGGAGCCCCAGGCACAACACCCCAAACTGGCACAGACAGCCCATGGTCCCAGCAAAGATAACTGGTGAACTGGGTGGTGACTGGTGCTGGGGTAATGGTTGGACGGGATGATCTCAGAGAGCTTTTCCAGCCTTGATTCCCCAATTCCACTCCCTTGACCACCTTCCAGGTGTGCACTGGCACCCCCAGGGTTGGGACCTGGAAAATCTTTTCCTTTGTACGGACCTGGGGGGGTCCCCGTGGGGAGCAGCACAGGGTCCATCCCTGTGGGATTCCTCCCCCCTCCCTCTGCCCCACTCCTGCCCATGACCTGAGAGGACAAAGCCAGCAGCGACCTCTGCTCCCGTTGCATGAGGACAGGTCACCTGCCCACATCTGAACAGGTCAGACCAGCTTGTTTCCTGCCCATCTCTCACCCCATCCCACATTCTGGAACTGGGATATACCTGGGTGCAGGAGGGCACGGGGGGCTGAGCCCAGCCCTGCTCACCTGCTCACACAGGTGTCCTCTCCAGGAAATTTGGAGCATGACCTGGTTGTTTCTACAGAAACACATGGAAACAACTCCCTGGCAGGGAGGAGCAGCTTCCTCCCAGCCTGCTCAGGAGCAGCTCTCTTCCCAGCCTGCCCCAGCTCCTGGATTTGGGAGCCGAGTGTGGGACAGGCGGCTGACGCACACCTGAGACTGCGAGAACTTTCACCACCTGTAATAAACCACCCGCGTCCAATCCACAACAACACGGGGCCGTTATTCCACCACCGGCTGCACCGTCCCGCTCTCCCACACCTCGGGAGCTCGTCCGAGGGCTCCCCTGCCCGTGGCCGAGCCTCCTCCCAGCGCGGGGAGGGCCGGAACCCCTTCCGAGCGCACCTTCACCCACAGCCACGCGGGGACCTCGGCCGGGAGCGCAGAGCCCTGCCCGGACACAGCGACATTCCCTGAACTGCTCCGGGAACGGGGAGAGCAGAACCCTGCCCGGACACAGCGACATTCCCTGAACTGCTCCGGGAACGGGGAGAGCAGAACCCTGCCCGGACACAGCGACATTCCCTGAACTGCTCCGGGA